CCCCTTGCCCTTCTGAAAACCCGTCTCTATCCAGCGCAACCTCATTTCCGGCTAAGCATTTGTCATGAATAGAAAAAAATAAGAATGATCACTGCGAAGCCAAGGTTTCCTAAAAAAAATACCTGCACTGGTTATCAAGGTTACCCTTACCCTGACGGACTCCAGTAGGTTAACCAGTTTCGAAGGACATCTCGGCATTCTTGTGGTGGCTCCGAAGCTACACTGACACTCTCTTCACTCTAACCACTAGTCTACTTCCCCGTTCCGCCCTCTTCCCCTCTCGACGGACGACGGCCGAACGCGGGTCGAGCAATCTGCGTGAGCTGAAGTGCACCCCCACGACTCTCTGGCGGCGTAGATGGTGGTGCTGAATCGATCGGAGCCACTTCGAAATTGAATTTCCAGCCTTTTTTTTAAACTGATTGCATTAACTGAGGCACTTGATCGAATGTTTCCGAGCGGTTCTCACTTCTCACTCGCTCCTGACAAACCTCAAAGTGCATTCCAACACTGGTTCTCCCGCAGTATTGATTACTGTGAATCCTTTTTATCACTCGTTCGTGTTTTTATGGTTGTTTACGAAGCATTTGAACCAGTTTTCCTTGTTCGTTCTTATTTTGTTTCGATATTCAACTCCAGAGCTTTTTTTGATCATTTTTCTATCTGGTGAAGATGAAGCCGGGACAGATGACGATTTATCCCGCCAGACTTACTCCCTGGATCAATTCCCGGCTTGGATCACCATCAAGCCAAAAAGCCCAGATTCCAATATCTGCTTTTTACTAGAAGAGTCGTCCAGGATAGGGAAATACTTCCCAAAACAAAAAGCTCCGCGTTTCTGGAGTAAGCCACGCACTTTTACAAATCACAGACCTACTGGCTACTTATTCAACTCATACCTTGTAGAGCCGTTCGTTTTTCGAATTAAAATCTGAAGCAATTAGTCGTATTTGACATTTTTAGAGTATATTTGTGAAGAACGCGCTGTGGTGGTGTAGTGACAAGTGGCGCACTATCTCACACGCACGGTCAGGGGTTCGAAACCAGGATAGATATTCGCCTAGAGAAACCAAGCATTCCATCCCTCCAGAGTCATTTAGTCCGTGCCAGAATCGTCTGGGAGGATAAAAACACTGACTTGTACATCGGCTGGCCACCGCAATTCATTGTATAGACCACATACGCACTCATTACGCCCCTACGATTCTGAATGGAAGTCGAGTGCGGGGCGCATCCCTCAGACGGGATTGATCAACACCCGGAGAGTTAATCCATTATAGTTCATTTGTGAAGAACTTTGGTGCTATATGGTCCGAAACTATGTGCAGAGCAACTGGAGGTTACTCATCTGAGCATTCTGGGTCCCATCCACCGCTTTAGAAGATATCTACGAAATGGGCCAGTTACAACTGCTTCGTTAGAGTCATCGTTATTGAAGCCTTCAGTTTTGTACTTAGTACATGGCTGACTTCTTTCCATTATATACCCTCTGCATAATGAGTTACGCCATTGCTATCTCGCCGCCGAATCGCCAACGGAAGTTGCCATTATGCAACAAATTCCCACCCATCTAATGGAGTCCATTCAGAATCACGATGCAACCATATGCAGAGTTGGCCTAGCGTTATTAATTGATTGGAAAATTTTGTGCATAAGTAACCAGGTTTATACTTTTTGAGTACGGTACGCGCTGCGACCGCATTCGCTTTCAATCTCTATTCTGCACTAATAACTACTGATGTACCAATTGAAAATGAGATTCATCTTATCGCTCGTCAGCACTTTCATCGTAGATTTGCCCATATGTGCTTCCAGTGTTGTTATCTTTTTTTTATTTGTTTGATAGGACGGAAAGGGGCGTCCTACCTTAAGAGCCTGATCACGAGTTCGAATCCCGGATCGATATCCGCCTGGACCAACTAAACCTTCCCTACCTCCGGGGTTAGTTAATTGGTACCGGATCGTCTGCGAGGATAAAAGCACTGGCTTGTACATCGGCTGGCTACCGCAGGTGATTGTATAAGTCAGGTTCGCATTCAACACGACACTACGATTCTGAATGGAAGTCGAATGCAGGGCGCATCCCTCAGACGAGATCATCAACACCCAAAGGCCTTACCCCTAATCTGCTGGCAAGTCGCGAATCCACCGAACACGGCTAAAGACCGATGCATCGAAGCATTGAGCGCATAATGCGCCAACTCGAAGACCAGCTGGCGTGATTCGAGTGCTTGTGTGCGCATTTTGAGTGCTGAGAGTGCAAGCACTATTTGAATATTCCGTTATGGGTCCAAGTTTCAGTAAAATGCTTTCTAGTTGGCAAAATCCCACTGTTATGGAAATGTCTGTCCTAAATGGGTGTCAGTTAGGGGCTGATGTGGAAGTGTATTCCCTGAATGGTTTTTTTTTTGGGCACAGAGGAAGAGGAATGCCCTTTATTCACACTTTAGTACTAAGTTTTAGCAGGATTTTAAAATAATGACGGGCAAATAGTGGTAGGGACTCACAAGGATTGTAAGGTATCTTCAGCGGCCTTTGAAATGTAGCTTTTACATCTTGTTCTGCCATTATTTGCCCACAGTGGACACATGGACATAGCAAAACCGAGCAGAATGGGTGATAAATGCCTAATCCCCTTATGTTATCCAGATGTTTATGGGTTACCTTTTGTGCCACAAGTATTTTCATAGTCATATCAGATGTGTCATTCCCTTTTGTGATAAAAATTCATGACAATTTGAGAGGCACTGCCTAAATGTTTCAATTTTATGTGCAAATCAAATTGATATTCGATGTTTATCGTTGTTTGAACTGTTTTGGAAATAAGCGCTTGCTCCAAATCTATTCAGTAATGAATTGTTTCTTTGTTTCACCCAGTGTGAATGACTCAAAACTTATGTATTTCAGCCCAATTCAATTGTTTATTTGTCAGACCTGTTGAAACTGTATGGCCACGAAGGTTTTTCAGAAGTACTTTCGTTATTTTCGTTGAAAATGAGTCTTCGTTAATTTATCAGCATTTCGATTTTTTGTGTTAATGTTTGAGCAGATTATCCGAGTGTGAAATGTCAGTTCCGACATGTTTTGGCTGCACAAACACAATCGGAGTGCAGAGAACATTTCTACCATTAAATCTTTTTCTCCCCACTAGTTTAATCACTCGCCACCCATGCTGAACTGAACTTCCTGAGCTCTACTATTTTGTACCTTCCTCCTAACCCAGTTCACAACACGTTTTTTTTGCTTTTTGCTTCGTTTCTTTCTTTTGTTTTCGTTTTTTTTTTTGCATTGGATTTGCTTGTTTTACCCAAATTCCTTTATCAAATAATCCCCACCTAGTTCCATAGAAGTCAGAAATATTCGCTTATGCTTATTCCTACTCATACAGTTTAGGATATTATGTACAGCAGTTCTGCAGTCAGGGTTGATACCTCTTCAAAAGCTTTGATAATTGGAGGGCCGTTATTCTCATCACTACTTGTCCCTGCTGTTGCTGGCTTATCTGCTTTGGGCTGTCNATTCATAGTATCTCGTCTCTACGTTGTATCTGCGTAAAAACGCAGGTACTAAAGTGCACCCGTAGCGCTCGGCTATATTTACG